ACGCGCACCCACACACACACACACACACACAAAAACGATTAAACATCAAATTCCTTTTCATTTCTGATATAAACTAAACGGACTATTTTAACTATTTCTGACTTTGTATTATGGGACGTGCACTAAAGATACTTGAGATATCACATAAATGTGTGAGTAGAGTTGTTGTAAAGTCTTTATATGTCTATAAATAATTTAAAAATTAATTTAAACCTCGAACAGTGGGATCAAGAAATGTTAATTGAAGCTAGGCTGGACAACATGGTGACTGAAGATCTGTTGAAATAATATATGCCATAACATTCTTTTAAAACTTTTTACACAAAAAGTGCCCTTGTCATGGTTGTTTTATTATTCCTAAGAGGAAACGTGTAGTTAGCATGCAATGCACAGGTAACTGTATTATTAGAAAAATAAATGTAGACAATCAATCTTGAGATTTCAGTTTTCATGTACACACTGATGTGCAAATTAATAAAACATGACATAAAAAGTCACAAAACATGACACACAGACATACAAGAAAACATTGTGATGAGACAAAGTATAGCACAAAACACAAGACAACACAGAACAGGAAATAATGTAAAAAAAAATCATATGAAAAGAGACTGGCATGGAGTAAATTTTAGATTAAGTAATACCATATAGTGCCAAGTAGAGGTACCTTTACTTTGGTCTGGGGTAGTGCTGTCTGAGATTCTCTGCATCTGTGTCTCCACACAATCTTCCCAGTTGGGCCTTGACTCAAAGACATCATCGCCTACAGACGGGGGTCGATTTGCTTTCAAACTGCTTTCTATCCCGAACTCAACAGAGGCTCTGTCTCCTTTGGTTTTATCACGCTCTGTGCTCCTTGAAGAGTCCAAATCCTGAGAGAATTCAGCAGGAAGTTCAGGCTGACTGGATACAGCATACTGTAGGTTAGGAGACTGTGTCGGTGAAACAGGCATCTGGGAGGATGAAGTCTTTGGTTTGGTGTAGCTGCTGTCTATTTTAGTGTGATCATCTACAACAGACATGGACCATTCTGAGTCACCAATATCTGCTACAGATTTAGGCCTTTGATTCTGTTCAATGGAGTCCCCTTGTCCTAGAACTTGGTCAAAGCTGGCTGCTTTTAAAGCTATTTTTGGTTTAGATGTTGTGTCTTCAATTTCAGCAACAAGGTCTTTGGATGGAGTGTACATTGAAGGTGATGTCTGGAATTGTTGTTGACTAACAGTATGAACTGAGGCACTAGGGGAAATTGTAGATACTTGGGTGGATATGGGCATTTCAACAACAGAATGCTGTTCATCTTCCACTGAAGAGTCAGAGGATTCCGGGTCTTGCTCAGAATAAACTGTTCGTGTTACTGTATAAGTGGCAGTGTCAACATTCGGTATTAATGTGTCTTCACAGATTCCATTATCCTCTGTGGGACTCTTTGGTTCACTTTGGATAGGAAAATCATTCTGTTCTGGATGTTCTGGTTGAACACGTTTGGTTCCAGTTTTACTAAAGCCATCAGGTTCCTCAGTGAGTCTGTCTTGATGAACTAAACCATCTGTAGGCATCTCAAATGAAGCTATTGCAACAGACTCACTAGCAATGAAATTGACTTGCTCAAATTCTTCACTTGGATCTTCATTTATCGGAAAAAAGACTAACCTTTCTTCTTCTTCCTCCATGGTCCTTTTGGTCATGTCAATAGCGCCACCTCTGGTCATCTCAAATAGCTTTCCCTCTTGGAAGAGGAAAGGATTTGGTGTCCCCTCTTCAGTAGGGGTTCGTCCTGGAGTTGTGTCAGGTGTGGTTCCATGGGAACGTCTGTCTATACACAAAGCAAGTATTTTCTGCTCCTCAGCCTCAATTTTTGCATCGAATGCCTCATCGTCTTCCACTTCAGCACTCCAGGGAACCAAGTCTCTTGGAATAGACAGTGGGATTTCTTCTGGCTTCTCTTCATTGTCCTTTTGATAAATACATACATCTGGCTGGGATTCATCCTGCACTTCCTTTGCAACAGTGGTGGCACCTACATTGTCGATGGGAGAAAGCACTTTTTCAGAAGTTGTGCTCTCACCAGTAGATTCAACATCACCATCCTTCTCAATGCCCATTTTGCTCTCTGCTGATGTAATAATGAGATCCTCCTTAGTTGTAGTCTCACCAATCACTATACTATGGTACTCTGAAGGTAACTGTTCATAGCCTTCCTCCTCGTTCTCTACATGTGTTTGCATAGATGGAATGTCTATGCATGTCTGTAAATCAACAATCTTTAAATGAGCATGCACCTCCTCCATTTTGTCTGTGGTCTCTAAAACCTCAGTGGTTTCTCCTGAGACCTTGTGAGTTGATTCAGGACTGTCATAATCATCATCTGACAATGAGGAATGTAAGGGAAATACTGGACAAGATTCAGCAGGGTTCTCCAAGTACTGCTCTTCTGATGTTATGGTAAACATTGTGTTAAAGTCTAGTGAACTTTTATGTGGTGACAGCACTTCTTCCTCTTTTGGTTGTTTAGAACCACAATCAAAATCAAATTTTACCTTTTTAACTTTTGCATCCTTTTCCATTTCATCAAATGTTTTGATCTTTGCAGCCATCTTAAACATCTCTTCTTCTGGAGTGAATTGCCTTTGTAAAGCATCAAAGTCATAAAGATCCCCACTGTCAATCACCTTTTCTTTTTGCTCCAGGGTCATGGAAATGTACTGCATATCTAAGGTATCATGGGTACCTTGGGATGACTCACTTTCTAAATAAATGTTTTGTTTAGAAATTAATTCTTTTCCCCCAGAGTCAGAAATTAAAGCCTGACTTGTTGAGAAGACCCTTTCAGTGTAACTCAGCTGACCAGATTCTTGACCAGTGGGACTTCCCTCTAAAGAGTCTTGACATGGGGACTCCTTGGTTGGGCTTGGCTCAATAGAGTCTGGGGATTTTTGGGATGATCCATCTTCTCTGATGGGAGTAGTCTCAAGCGAGTCTATTCTACAGAGAGTTTTAGTATCACTCATGGTTGCAGGCTGCAGAGAATCCAAACTAGAAGGTCTCTCTGGTGCATCTTGACTGTGATGGCTATATTGTGGTATCTTCTCAGACTCAGTAATTACATCTGATTTGATCAGCTTCATGCTATCTTTACAGGTATAATCACTTTTCATATTATGTGCTGATATTTCACTCTCTAATTTCATAACTTGAATTATATTTTGAACTATTGTCTTTGAATTAGCAGAAGACGGTGACTCAATATTGGTGGATGGAGAAGATGATTCAATCTTAGAATCATAAGGTGATTCAGTCTTGATTTTTATGGAGGTTACTGAACATAATTCACTCTTGTCACTCTCCGCTCTTTCATGTGATGTCGAACTTGATTGGTGAATTGTCTCCTGGTCCCCTGGATATCTGTCTTCTGTTTCTTTACTAGTTGTACTGGAAGAAAAAACAAGGACTTCCGGACTATTTTGAGGGGTTTCAGCAAGTCCCAAATGTTTCTCACTGTCACCTGTGCTGGAGTGAGGAGTCCTTGTCCCTATACTATTGCCAGGAGAGTCTGCTAAGGCCTCGTGTTTGTCACTATCATGACTTTCTTCCAATGCTCCATCATGTATTTCACTTTGACGTAAGGGTTCACCTTGCACCATTGCAGTAGCAAATGCAGTGATTATGTTTGATTTACTTGGATCCACTGCTGCCTGGTGTATCTGCTCCTCATCTTCCAAAGAAAGGCCATCACTACACATTAAATAATGTTTACTTGCTTCACCTGAAGTTCGCCTAAAGAGCAGATATTCAGGATTTTCCTCAAGTTCTGCCTTAATATCTGCACTGAAATCCTCTGATGGTTTCCTGTCTGGGCTGATCTGAGGTTCCACAGACAATCTCCTGTTCTGGTAGATGTTATTTTCATAATACATTCTCTCACATATCAACCGCGGGTCTTCGTTACTTAATAGTTCAGAACATATTTGTTTTTCCACAGTTTCTGGTTCCTGTAATGGTTTTCCATTTTGGTCATTTGCTGTATGTTTACCGAGCAGGTCTTCTGGAGAGCTTTTCTCTTCAAAGTTAAAAATAATGTTGGAAGTTACAGCATGATCACCTTCGATTTGGATGATCGTTAGTGGTTTTTCATGTACTGCTTCACCATCATCGATCACTGGTTTATGCTGAATTGTGTTTTGGTCAATATGTGATGATTCTTGAAGGATCTTGTTTTCTACTACAATTGTTTCTTGTAAATGCTGGGTTGATTCTGGAATTTGGTTATCATATGTTGGAGGAACCTGCTTCACATCAGAACTTGCTTCAGAGGGAATAGTTGTAATTGCTCTTTCTTGTAAATGTTGAGTTGTTGCTGTCATTTGGCTACCATATGTTGGGGGAATCTGCACCACATTAGGACTTGGCATTTCAGAGGTTACAGTTGTAATTGTTCTTTCTTGTAAATGTTGAGTTGTTGCTGTCATTTGGCTACCATATACTGGGGGAATCTGCACCACATTAGGACTTGGCATTTCAGAGGTTACAGTTGTAATTGTTCTTTCTTGTAAATGTTGAGTTGTTGCTGTCATTTGGCTACCATATATTGGGGAAATCTGCACCACATTAGGACTTGGCATTTCAGAGGTTACATTTGTAATTGTTCTTTCTTGTAAACGTTGAGTTGGTAGTGTCATTTGGCTATCATATGTTGGGGGAACTTGTATCACATCAGAACGTGCTGCTTCAGAGGTTACAGTCATAACTGCTTTATGTTCAAAAAGTCCAGACTTGCTTTTCGATGGATCCTGGCCAGTCTGAAAAGCCTTCATCAGCTCTCTTACAGACATAGTTTCCTCTAGCCGTTCCGTCTGTGACTTTGGGGATCTGAGGGATTTTGGAAGAAGCTTGGCTGATTTTTCTGTCTCTGTGACATATGGCTTACTCTGGGAAGTACTGACATTTTGGGATTTCCACTTTTGACTGTCCACCTCATTCTCTTCTTCAACCTTCTTCTGCAGTGCATTAACCCTGTCCTTAATGGATCCAATCGGAGTTTCTACAACTCTGGGAGACACAGGAACAGGTCCAAAGACAGGTTCAGATCCACCGATAACTGCATCTTCATCAAGAGACTCCTCAGACTGACTCCTACTCATACTTTCCAAGTCATCCTCTGAACTGCCGCTTGCAAACTCCCTCTCTTTACGCTTTTTCCTTGCTGGCTTTTTGATTCCTGCTGGACGGTGTTTACCACGTGTCACAACAACCTCTTTAAAACTTTCTTGAACACTATCCTCATCTTGCGAATCATTAAACGGTACAGGCGTTTCCTGCAGACACTGTTCTAAGTCACTGCTGAGATATGAAATCATACCTGAAATATCCCTCTGAGGAGGAGAATTGGATATAATGTCTCTTGTGATTCGAACTTCCTGAACGAGTGCCTCTTGGACTTCAGTGATATTTTTGCTTTTGGATTCCGCAACATCTGTCACACTGAGAAGGACCCACTCCTCATCATCAATGGTTACAGATCTCATAATAGCAACTCCTCCTTTTGTATCATCCATTGTTCTGTCACGAAGAATCTCTTCTACCTTCTCTAAGTCTTCTTTCACTTTTTCAACAATTTCAAATGGCTCATCCACTTCCTCGTCCCCAGCCTTGTCTGATCGCTCTCCGGCATCAGAGGAGCACGATTTTTCTGACTTTTCAGAGGTCAGAAGGACTGACACTTTAATCAGGTCCTGCTTCATTTCAGAAACCTCTGAAAGTAGATCTGGACTTGCGAGTGTTGCAGGATCATGTATGATTTGCAGCATGGAAAGCTCTGTTGACTCAGATCCATCATAATCTTCCATTTGAACAGCACAAATAGTTTGTAAAGAACAAAGGGGGAAATGAAGAGGACAAAAGACATTGGAAAACTAGTCAGGGCAGGAGCAATACAAACTGTCTTCAGTTCAGATGACGAGAAAACTACTTGACAGAATGAAGAACATTGCTAGATTTATCTAGATTTGGATCCGAAGGATTTGGGAAGGCATGGGAGCAGTTAAGCAAAGCAAAAGAGAATTACAAAGTGAGGGCAGGAAATGGGCAGGAAATAACTTGCTTAAACATGTTATATTGATTCAAGTATCCACTCATACACTTACATAAGAGGGAAAGTATAAAGAAAAAAAACAAAGGATAAGTAATACAGAAACCTGTGCACAAAGAACAAATGAGGAAAGTAATCATAACACAGAGTGGATCTGTACCAATGAGGCATCTCAAGATTGTTCTCGACATGAAGAACTCATGTCAACACAAACATAGATAGCATTTCAAAACAATGCCCTTATGCAACACTGAGATACAATCAGAGGCTTTTCACATAAAACACTTTCAAATTATTAAATGCTATGGCTTTTTAGTTATGCAGATCTTTGAGTCAAACATGGAGTTGTTTAACATATGGGAATTTGTTATAAGTCTGTGGTAAATGATAAGAAAAATGTAGGAAACCAATAAACACAAGTGAACAAAGGAAACAAAGAATGTGAGTGATAAGGATAAAAAAAGTCACAAATGATTCATATTTCAAAAAAGATATCCTCACATTCAAGCAGACACACTCACACACATACATATGCAATAATATAATATGTGTAAGTCAAGTTATTTCCATGCAAAGGAAATGATCCATGCAAAGGTGACATTTGTGGCAAGCAAATTAAGTGATTTCATTACAGGCAAAATAATATGTGCCTGGTCAGTATGATTTTGATTTTAGGGAGAATGGTTTGTTTTCCAGTATCTCTTTTGGCATGTAACACACTAAACATTTTAGAAACCATCATGCCAGAAGCAAGATACCATTGTGAGAGAATAGAATTGGATGTAATGTTTCATGAGAACAGCAGACCATAAAAATAAAAATGGAAGAAGGGATGTTTATCAGCCATAGCATAGCAATCGGGGATCCACAAATACAATTCCTCTTAAAATCACTTTTAAATATGCTAAATATGTTAACAATGTACTAATACATTGGTAACCTACAGTTACAGGAGTTATGGGGGTTAAAAAGAATGGGAGCAAAAGCTGTCTATACTGTATATATATTTTTATACTTAAAAATTGCTTACATTGCTCATGTGTCTTCTCACTCTATAAAGAAATTAAATTGAAACAGAGTTAATCGAATGGAAATTACAAAAAAATCCATGATCTCTTTTGCAAAGACAACATTTACAAAATCATTTATTTATTTTTAAGGTGTAATATAGGTATTTACCTCATCATCTGCATCTTGGTCAGAATCAGATTCCTTAAAAAGTAAGAGTAAAAAAAATCAACTGTCAGATTAAATTTTGCTAAACTAAATATATTTTGATTAAAAGGTATTGGCTTTTTGTTGTGTCTATGTATGCATATTATGTACAGTATATGTGGCCGTGAGGTAATATCATTATGAAAGTGTTTCTTTTACCTTTGAGTAAACAGGTAGGCAGATGTTCAGGTTGCATATTGCATTGTGGTTTAGACTGCGATATGTTCTTGGTTCTTTTGTAAAAGACAATCTGCCACATGGTTCTTGAGTGCTGTCACGAATCTGTTAAAAACAACCAATCTGTAACTTTGCTCACCACCAACTGACAATTACACAATACTGTGGCATCATAGTTAAACTAGTAGAAAACATTGTGGCGTACTGTAACACGTTTAAATCTGTAACTCAGTGCCTTTTTTGTGCAAACTTCAATATAATATCTATATAGTTATCTACTATAAATAGTGCTACAAATTATAACTTACTTTGATAAAGAGAGAAAGACGGTTTTCCTTAAAGGCATAGAAGCTGAACACATGGTGCTGTCCACTTTTGGTCAGTGGGACCAAATTTCCAAAGCAGTCTGCAAAGATTGGCTTTCCCTCTAGAACCTGTAGAGATAAACATACCATCATGTAGAAAAGTTCATCTCAAATGCACTAGCAAGACTAGCTGAACCACACTTACCTCGATATCTCGACTACGAGCCACTTCAGTGAAGTTCTCCTGCTGCTCCAGAGTTTTATCCATCTTATCATCCGTCATACAGAAGCAGCGGAGTCGTGCTTCTATAGGGTCCAATGTCTTGGCGAAGATGACAAACTTGGCCATATAGGGAACACAGATGATCTCACGATACAGCTGACTGGAGAAGTTCACAGCCTCCTGGATCTGACGGCAATCTATAAGCCAGAACCTGGGAGGAAAAACATGTATTTAACGATTTGTCAATGGAAAGCAGTCAACAAACATTTGTCACTGCGTCTGAACTCACCTTGCTGACACATTAGTGGTAAATGAAACACACTGGTTGATGAATGTTAGCGGTGTGGATCCAGTTATGTCCTCCCATTGTGCTGGAGTCGTCCCACCTAGAAAAGGAAAATTATTAGAACTATTTACACCTTCTTATAAAGGCACTTACTTACAAAAGATATGTTTTACTCTTTATTCTCACATACCAGTAATGCTACATAATAGTCGTAGAGTGGGGGTACTGCTTGTCCCGTCACTGGTTGGGCTTTTAGGGACAATAATAGTCATGGTGATGGGCTTGTGAAACTTGCGTCTTCTGGGCTCCAAAGTAACAATTGGGCTGAATGTAGCCTTATTACCCAAGATCTTCCTCACCAGATCCTCACTGATTGGCTGGGCCTAATAAAGGATGAGATTGAGATGTAAGTGGCAGGATGGACTTTTTATTTTTTTATTTCATCCCCTCCCTCTAACCAATTTAAGAGTAATATACTGCTAATTAAATATTTTACAGAAGGGCATAGCTAAAAAACAAAAAACAAAGAAAGAACTTTTTCCATAGAGTCACACTTTTAATACAAACCCTAAAATAAGACTTAAAGACAAAATAACAATGCATTAGTATTACTTTTTTCAGTTTACCAATAAATTTTTTTACCATTACATAAAAAAAGAAAAATTGCTGCTGCATTGATAATATAGCTCAATCTCAATTGAGTCAGCTTTAATGACACAAAGAAGTTACTAACATTTTTTTGCACTATTGATCTAGAGTGGCAAATAATAATAAAAATGGTACAGTGTTGCCCTCAACATCGTTTGTGAGAAAACTATCTAACACAAATCAAAAGGAAAATTAGAAATGCCGGTAATGCCTTATTTTAAGGTGTCTTTGTTACACGTTGTGTACAACGTGTACTTACTATAGAATGAGCACAAAATTATGCATAATTACATGCATAACCCTAAAACAAACCCTAACCCTAACCCTGTAGTAAGTACATGTTGTTAATTAATATTACTTAATTGTACAGTACTTAAATGTATAATTACACTGTAACAAGGACACCTTAAAATAAAGAGTAACCGAAATGCCTTCTTTAAAGGGGTCATATGATGCTTTTTTAAAGATCATTATTTTGTGTATTTGGTGTAACAGAATATGTTGACATGCTTTAATGTTTTGCTTCAACACTAACTGCGGTTACTGAAACCACCTTCTTTCTTTGCGTGCACATTTGGGCGCATTATGCAAATATTCCCACATAGTGACCTAGATATGTGGGGGTGTGTTAGAACGAGCCGTTTTAGGGGGGTGTGGCAGAGTCTTAACTTTCATAAAGAATATCTCTTTGGTTTTGAGACTTTAGTCTTTGCAACTTCAGGGATCTTATCTATTCACGAACAGCTTGTAACACTCCAAAGAGAAAGGAAAACTTGAAATCGCATCATATGACCCCTTTAAAAATTAAAAGGTCAATGATGAAGATTGCTTTGCATAGTGGTTACCTGTAGCCCAACGCGTATCCGTTTAGTCAATGCTCCCTCTGGGAACACAGCCTGGACCTGTGGAACAAGTATGCTGCTTAACACCCCACCCTCTGGACCGATCAGATGACTGTCCTGCTTAATGCGGGACACCACTGCAAAGTATTGTGGGAAATCCCGTGTGATGATGCGGCAGATTCGCCTTTTCTCCAGCTCCTCAGGAGTGTCCAGTTCTAGTGTGAAAATGACCAAAGTCTTCATTTTATTTCATTTTAAAGATGCTCTCCTTCTTTACCAAACCAAACTTTTCCACTAAGCACAGACCTGTTCTAAAATGTTTGAAAAGAACTGTCACACAGGATCCCAAATCTATACCACCATTCAAAAGTTAGAGGTCAGTGAAATGTTTTTTTTTTTTTTCTAAACTTATTTAGCAAGGATGCATTAAATTGATTAAATGTGACTGTAAAGATGTATAATGTTACAAATAATTTCCATTTCAATGTTGTTCTTTTGAAATTTCTGTTCATCAAACAACGTATCATGGTTTCCACAAAAACAGCAAGCAGTACAACTGATTTAAACATTGATCTTAAACACCAAATCAGTATATATGATTAGTTTCTGAAGGATTAAAGGCTGCTGAAAATTCAGCTTTGACATCACAGGAATAAATTACATTTTAAAATATATTAAAATAGAAACAGCAATTTTAAATTGTAATGACATTTCATAATATTGCTGTTTTACCCTTGGTGAGCATAAGAGACTTCTTTCAAAACTATTAAAAAAACATTACTGACCCCAAACTTTTGAATGGTAGAGTATATGGGGTCAGCTCACAGTCTCTATGTGTATTCGGGACACACTCACCCTCGTCCATGCCATTGAGTATCTGATTCAGCTCCTCTTCTGTATGCTCACAGTAATGTTCTCTCCAGCTCTCTCCTGTCTCACTGCGCAGAATCACCAACTCCCTCTCTGTCCCACGCAATGCAGCAAAGTGGGGGATCTCCACTATCACAGGCCTGAAAAATAACGGGTGTTATTTCAGCCAAATGTACGGCTTTGGACTTGTCAAAGTGAGGGTTGTTGTGAAACAGATATCGCATCTGTGGAAGACATAAACACAGGTAAATGTAGCATGCAGCAATGTAGGAACAAAACCATGGGTAATGCCATATACAGCATACACAGAGCAATGACCAATACAAGAAAATAACACATTTAAACTCAAACGATATTTAAAAGGCAACAAAGGAAGTAAAGGTAAATTAATGGAACACCTCTATTTCGAAATGATAAAAACAAACTAAAAAAATTATAAAATACAGATGGAGGTGTATTTAAAAGAATTAGGAGGGATATGTGACCGGTATCCAGTGGATATTTGGCATTAGGATCTCTCCTACCCGAGGAATTTGGTGCCGGGTGGACCCAGCTGCAGAATTCTGCTGACAAGACTTTCACCCTCATTAAGAGGAGGAGGGGCTGTTGGGAGGTGGAGTTTACTGTTCCGATCGCAGCCATTAAAAAAGATGTAAAAAACAAGGCACACTGTGAACCTGATTTACTGAACTCAGATTTAGAGAGAGAGGAACATAATTGTCATTCCTCCAAACTAGTGATGACAAGTGTCCTAACCAGGTGAGACAAACACTAAAAGCTCATCCATGAGTTTTTGTCCTAACCAGCTGCGACATTTTGTCCATCGCTTGGTTAAATCTACCTAAAATTGCTTTAATTAATAAATGGAAAAATACTAAAACTTAAAACTAAAATCTATCCACTGAATCTCATTGGTCCAAAATTCACAAAATAAACATCAAACATCATTTTACTGGCTGAGATTACATTCCATGAGATTACATGGACAGCTGTTTCAGCATAGACAAACAAATTGATTGTCGCTGGAAACTTGTAACATCGCTCCTGGTTAGGACACGTCAAACATGTTGACATATTGCGCTACTTTGTCAGTCAAGACGAGACAAAATAGAGAACATATAACTGCATCATACGCAAACAAAGATAGACAAAAATGTTCATGGTGATACAGCATACATTTTCAATTTTAGATCCCCTTAGACACCCCCTTACCCAAGAAACTGGGCTCCGGTGGGTCCAACTTCAATGAGCTTGCCTGCGAGCCCCTCTCCCTCCACCATAGGGGGCATAGAGGCCAGCCTGTGCCTCTTCACCAGACGACATGTGACCCGTGTAGGTGCTGAGCACTTTCTAGGTGGCACAATAATGCGTAGTCCATTGTGACGACAGCCACGCATGGCTCCACCACGGGCATCCACCATGAAACTGACCAGGAAGCTGTTTTTATAGAACAGCAAGTGACAGTGAAACACACAACACAATGTTTAACATCTTCATTAAAACTACACAGAAATGAAATACTGCCATAAATGCATTACATTCTCGTTTATAAACTTACAGAAGCCACCTAGGCCATGCAATATTATTTTCCTGTCTATTTTTCTAAACTTACATTATAGGCTCTGTGGGCTTCTCTATGTTTGTAAACAGTTATTAATTTAGCAATTCTCTTTGGTGCCATTTGAAATTACACACATTCCAGAAACATTTTGGGTTCCAATAGTTTTCTTCGGTGATCAAAAGGATTAATTTCTGTTAAACCCAGAACATTGTTTTTATTATCAGATTGTGTTGCCACTATGTGTTGTACACTGATGAACACTACCGTTCCAAAGTTTGTGGTCGGTAAGATTTTGTTTTAAATATTTAAAAAAATACAGTAAAAATTGTAATATTGTAAAATATTATTACAATTTAAATAACTATTTCACGATTTGGTGCTGAAGAAACATTTCTTATTATCATCAATGTTGAAGAGAGTTGTGGTGCTCAGTATTTTTGTGGAAACCATTATACATTTTTTATAGGATTGAATGAATAGTAATTTTGCAATGTAACAATGACTTTTGATCAATTTAATGCATTCTTGGAAATGAAAAGTATTAATTTCTTTCTTTAAAAAAAATCTTACTGACCTCAAACATTTGATTGGCATAATGTTATTTTAAGTGTTGTTTTATGTTATGTATTGTTCATGAAGTTTATGGAGAAAGTCTCCAAAAGAATCTACAGACAAGTCACTGGAGAATTTAGATAATAAAGAATGATAACCGTTGAACATGCTCAATATGTACTGGGGAGGATACCGTAGTTGTTGAGAAACACAGTGTCTCTAGTTTCATAACACCCATGTGAAAGATACTGAAGAATACTTAATATTTTTTCATGGGGATATCTATGAATACGGAGACATGACTCAGTGTGTTCATCAAAACATGCTGATTAAAATTTTAATAGGCACAAAAAGGCTAATTTAAAAAGCTCAGAGCAGACAGTTGTTATGTATACATGCAATAATGAAATAAAAGTAGATGAAGTGAGGAAGCAAAAAGGGCACATGGAAGGTGGAGGAAAGTGGAGGATCACCTGCTGTTGTCATTGTCAAGGCATGGGGTGGATCGGCTAAAAGCAGAACAAAAGACACAATCACGAACAGCAGAGAGAGAGGCAGAGTGATTTAGGCAGATGACGTGAGTGTAATAAACGAGAAAGAAAGAAAGTCAGCAAGAAAGAAAGAAAGAAAGAAAGAAAGAACAATGAGAGGAAATTGAGCAGCTATCATTCATGATCCACAATAGTGGCATCTGATGCAATGCCAGCTTTGACTAAACATACATATCTTAGTATGTACTAGCATGTACAACGGGGGGGAGGCAAATGTGTGTGCGTGTTCATGTCCGTTTTAGTGTGTGTGAAACCTACTAACCCTGACTGCAGAAGAGTGCTAGTTAGCACCACATTATCCAGATGTTCAGCACCCCAGCTCAGTCGATATGACTCATGTTCTCGAGAGAATGCAGAAACCTAACAAACAACATAATCAGACTATAATATATCATCGTGACTCATGTTCAAAATTGTTCCAAAATGTCAGATTTTGACTTAATGGGTGGTCTAAAAATATTTTTATGGTATAACTGTTGTATAAACGCAATAAGCCCTGTGAATCCATGGTTTACAGTTAATTTAGAACAGCTAAGAAGATTTTAACAATGCTAACAATTAGATTTGATCAATTAGCATTATAAACCATGGCTAACAACACTGAGCCAAATGTTAGGTGTACAAATGAGGTGTGATAGTTCACCTTATTAAGCTGGTGGCTGGTGATCATATCCTCAATCAGCATTCCTTCACCCCTGTAAGCAAGATGACTGGGGGTCTCATGGGACCTGAGGTAGGACAATGTAAACAGGTGAGTAAAACAGCATTATGTGTGTGCACTTCTTATAATTGTGAGAATTAAATTCCCAAAAAAATGGCAACAAAAAGCTTCTGGCTCAAACAATGATGTGAGCTTGGAGGCAGTGCTAACAGTAATAATCTGTTTAGCAGGAATGAACTTGTCTATGGAAATTAAAATATTGGTTTGTCTGTTTGTATATGTGCATTGGTTTATTTTTTTACCGGTCTAAGTTATGAGTGTAGCTCATGTTGTCCAGGTAGTGCCCAGGTAGAGAGTCATCACCAAGCTCTCTCAGGTCCTCTGCTCTCAGGTATTCCCCTCCATCACCTGTCATTGTGTCCTCACCTGCTCATACACACATTGACTAATTAATTGACACCGTCAATGAACTACTCGTTGATCAAATTACTGACTTAGGGCCAGATTCACTAACATCTTGCACCAGCTCAAACCCTCTTTTGGTGTTTAAAAACTGCTGTCAGGATTTACTAAAGAGACACAGCGAAAAATTAGTGATGAAAAGATATTTTTGCATGTGCATTTGTAGGAGTTACTCTTTCAGATGCAAAATGCATGGGAAGAGAGTACTTTAGTGAGTTAGGCAACACGATTTACTAAGTTTTACCAACGCTATCTCACGACCAATTCACAAGTATATTACAAGGTGGCTAATTAGTACGAATTCTTACAACCTCACTCGTACGACCTCATTTGTACGATTTTGTTTTCTGTGAGGGGTAGGTTTAGGGACAGGGTTATGGGTGGTCATTTTTACAAATTCACACCTCGTAAAAAATATAAGAATTGCTGTGAGATCAAGTTGGTTTTACGGTAGTCAGATTACTGGTATTTGCACCATTATTTAACACCCAAAAAAGCATGTCTCAACCCATTTTGCGCCTGTGTGCTTTCCACTTCCATTGGTGCTTTTATGGGATTGTGGTCTCAAACTAATTTGTCCTTTTCAGTAAATCTGGCCCTTATTGGTTAAGTGATATATCGAATAGGCTGTAGTCAGGGCCTGATTTACCTCTTATCGTGACATAGGCAAAAATAATTTTGGGTCCCCCTTCCTTATTAATAGGCCCCAGCAAACAAAAATATTTTGTAATCAGTGGAAACCGTTACAGTGTTTTCTATCGCAATAAGCACTTGCATTCAGACAATAAAAATCGAATGTCTTTATTTGTTTATTTGAGAAAGGCCGTTCCATTAATAGGCTCCAGCGTCGTGGCCACATTACCACTTTGGGAGTGCATTATTTCTCTAATAATTTGAACAGCCTGGTGTCACAACCACACCTCAAGATATTGTTCAGATGATTGATTTCAAGATAAACCTTCCGTTGCAAATTCCAAAACGTCATTTTAGAGCTAATAACAGAGGCTTGGGCCATTGATATGCAGGCTAATGCAGTTATTAGAGAGAGAGAAAGAGATTATGCGCATGTGAATACGCGCGTCTGTGCGTCTCTCAGCAGTGTTCAGCAGCAGCTTCTACTAATAGCGAATATTTAAGTTGAACTGCTTCAAGAACCTCCCTACTGAGAAATGTCATGTAGCTTTTGAGCTGCAAAACTATTTTACTGATAAATTTGCGGGGCCACACTGATTTCAATCTGTTCGCGTCTCCGCGTGTGTGCGTCTGTGAGAGAGAACGGGAGAAAGAATTTATGTATGTGATTTCCATACATAAAAAGGTGGAAAACATGGAAATAGTTTGTCATTTTTTACCCTATTGTTTGTTGTTCTCTCACTGTTGTAGATAGACCATAGTATAACAAAAAATATTATATATCTTCTCATTGTGTTTGGGCCCCCCTGGATGAGCGAGCATAGGCACGTGCCTAGAATGCCTATGCGTAAATCCGGCCCTGGCTGTAGTTTAATAAACAACCCAAATCACGACTTGCCATTCAATTCTTTATCTTTGGACAATGTATTATATAACCTCTCATTTTCTGACCCAATATAAATGTAAATACTTTTTAAAATTCAGACCAAATAGCATTAATTCTTAACATTTGGGTTTTAGACAACGTGACGGTAAAGATTTCAAAATAAACCCATAAAAAACTAAAATTAATAAAAATAAATTATATTAACCAACAACATATTAACCATAACAAGCACTGTTCACCCATTATGTAGGTACTACTAAAACTAAAATACTCAGTGACTCACAGATATCAAGTATTCTAATTTATATGATTTGAAAAATTATCCCCAGATTAGCACAATTAACAAAGTTAGTTTTTCATAGTTTAGTTTTCTACACACAATAATCATGCCCGTTCCAGTTAGCACACAAATTGCAAACCACACGCTGGAATAGATACAGAAGGAACTGAACAGATTTTTGGTAATGCAGTAAGTGTAACGTTAGTAATTCAATCGGTCAGTTCAGTTCACTCTATATCTATACCCTGTATACCTTCGATCTCCATAGAGACTTCAGTAAAAAGCTCCTCCTCCATCTGATGTTGGGCTACAGAGGCACAGCAGCTTTTAAACAGATATATGAAATCCTGATCATGTATAATAAAAGTCAGTTATAAATCAGTATCTTACCCTCCTCATCAGACACATCCAGAACTTCTGTCATTGTCTCTGGAACGTTCAGCTTGTGTTTCTCTGTCACCGTCTACAAAAGTTGAAATGAAAAAGGGATTCAACATTCTTGTATGGTTTATGAATGCATCAGATATTCTTAATATTTAAAAGCATGGATACATACGGTTGTCGTTGTGATTATTTCCTCAGTAACAACTTTCAGAGTGTCCACCACTGAGATGTACCCCAGACGCTTAGCAATAGAGAGTGCTGTGTTCCCATTCTGAGAGAGAAATAGTGTGAGGTTAGAGAAATAAGATACAGAATTAATATAATTTCTGTGAGTATGAGTGTGTTGCTCACCATAGTGACTGCGTTAGGCTTGGCTCCATGCTGCAGCAGGACATTGATAATGTGCGTATTTCCCTGCTGAGCAGCTTGGTGAAGTGGCGTGTAGCCATTCTGAAATAAAAAACTCCATCAGTACAGTAAACAGCTCAGAAATAACATAATAACAATCTGAATGCAATGCAAAAAAAATAATGCAATTCTGATAGAATATTACAAATCATAATAATTGCACAAAATTACAATCTGTCATAGACATCAGTAATATTTCTCAGTCACAAACTCAAAATGCATGGTCACACAGCTCATACTTACAAAATGATTACATTACTAGTTTTTTTAAGTAATAATTAATTGGGTTAACAAGTCACATAATGAAAGAATATACTTTAATAAACTCTTACCTTAGTTTTTGCATTGACATTAGCGCCATTTTGCAAAAGGAAATTAACCATTTTGACATTTCCATAGTGACAGGCAACAATAAGAGGAGTGTAGCCCAACTAGAAGAAACAACCAAATATCACATTAGCTGAAGTGTAACATACTGAAGCATTATTAAAAAAACAAATTCAGACCGTGGTAATACAAAAAATACAGTTCAAGCTTACTTTGGTCTGCTGGTCTACGTTTGCATCGTGTTTGACCAGTATTTCAGCCACCTGCACTCTGTCCTCCTGAGCAGCGAGGTGTAGAGGTGTAAGACCACACTGAAAAAAATAAAAAAAATAAATCATAAACCATTATTACATGGCTCTCTGGAATACTTCTTTCTGATTGGTCACTTGCTGAATTCTATAGTCTAATATTTTTTTGTAATCATATTAGCAAAGTCAGGATTCAACAGTATGGGTTCTGGTAGTCAGTTAATGATCTGAATTGTAATTTATTCCAAGTGAGCTAGAGATAAGTCTTTTTTTTGTTTGCAATTATTCTAAATAGGAAGGTGCATAAATCTGTGTTGGTCTTGGGCAGAGTTTCCCAAACTGGGAATCGTGAACTCCTGGGGGAGGGAACTACAGGGGGTTCACGAGTTGATGAAAAGCGAACAATTAATTATATCAAATGTAAAATTAAGGTAAATAAACGGGGCTGCACAATAATTGTGATATAGCACTGTTCGCTTGAACAGATTCTCAGTTCACAGTAAATGCAGCAAACTCCATCTCTGCATGTGTTGCATTTAATGTGCATTTGCTTACTCAATGCGCACTACGTTAACTGTAATTTCTAACATTCTTCGGTAGCAGAAATATTAAATTTTCTTGATTTCCAAAAGTCTAAAAGAGTTTGAGTCCACTTTAAGTCTAGCTACAAATAAAACAAACAAAAAAAAGATTAAATATTGTATCTGTTTACTTGTATGCCATCTCACCATTAACTGACATTAGAGTGTCATTAAATTCTCAATATTAACTCACGTTCTTATGAGGTACATCAAGTAAATATTTTACATCTAAGTGGACTGGCTGACATTTGTAATAGTCAGTTTAGATGACAAAAATATGTTAAATATGTTATGTTTATTCATGAGCAATAGCTAATAGCCTGATGCTGAGGATACATACTGTAGTCTTCCCTGATCTAGATCTTACCTTAGTGGCAGCATTGACATGTGCACCCCTCTCCAGCAGCAGGGAGGCCATCTCTGTGTGCCCCTCTTGGGATGCCAGGTGTAAAGGACTCACTCCCTGTTTGGTCAATGCATTGGTCTCTGCTCCATACTGAAGCAGCGCAGAGGCGATCTGTGTCTGGTTCTTCTTAGCTGCAATGTGGAGAGGTGTATAGCCATTCTGCACAGGAAGAGAGTAACAGAAACAGAAAAGGTTATAAATTTTTTAATTACTGGATGCAGAGATATCTTGCTATCAGTTTAAGATTTGCACCTTAGCAGTAGCATGAGGTGAGGCTCCTTTATCCAAGAGCATCATCGCCACCTGCTGGTTATCATAGTGAGCAGCTACATGCAGTGGTGTGAGACCGTACTAGTTCAGAAAGCCAAAGACAGAAAGAAAAATGACAATAGTGAACATATATTTACAAAATACATTTCAATGAAATTTCAATGATTAAAGCTTGATTTTCACCTTTCCAGCATCATCAAGAAGTGCTCTCTGCTGAAGGAGGAGTTTTGCCACATCCAGACTACCATATTTAGCAGCAACATGTAGAGGAGTGAAGCCTTTCTGTTAAGGGAAGGATATTTGTCTTTAGTTGATTATAGATGAATACATACTCTACTTTAAAAAAAAAATTGGGGTCAGTATTTATTTATTTTGATAAATACTTTTGTCTTTTAAGACTATGGGGAAAGAGCTTTTTCATTCAAAGCCCCCAAATGATGGAATGCACTTCCTTTTAATATCAGAAATGCACCAACTCTGGATCACTTTAAAAAGGTGATTAAGACGCATTTATTTAAGCTTGTATTTAATTAATTCTAGTATTTTTGTATTTTTTTTTTGTGTGTGTTGTTGTTTTACTGTAGCGCTTTGGGGTTAGGAAAAGCACATTACAAATAAAATGCATTATTATTATTATTATTTTGAATGAATATTTTTATTCAGAAAGTACACATACAATTTTTCAAAAGAGTTTTATTTCAAATAAATGCTGTTGTTTTGAGCTATTCATCATTTTCTAGAAAAAAAAAATCACAGCTTTAACAAAAATAAAAAAACAGCACAACTGTTTTCAACATTGATAATAATAAAAAATATTTCTTGAGCACAAAATCAGCATACTGAAGACTGGAGTAATGATGCTGAAAATTCAGCTTTGTCATCAAAGTAAAAAATCACATATATATATATATATATAGTATCCCTCATTTTAATAAACTGTGGGCATGTTGTACTAATTCATTCCCTGTTTTTGTCTGCATATCATGTGTGGGGCTCTGTATAAATTAATAGATTTATTGCATAATATTTGATAATATATTTGAATGAGGACCCCATATCTCTTTCACAGATCTCCCTGCAGTCCCACCTTGGTGGTGAGTGAGTGAGATGCTCCAGCCTCCAGCAGCACTGCAGCTGTCTCCACCTGACCTTCACGAGCGGAGATGTGCAGAGGTGTGTATCCATTAATGGTGGAAGCGTCAGGATGAGCCATGTGCTGCAGTAACAGCTGCACAATCTCTGTCTGACCCAGACGTGACGCAATGTGAAGGGGTGTCTGGTCCTCCTGGAGGCAAGAGAGAAAGATATAGTATATTTAAAGCTTCCTGTGTAGTCATTAATCTGTATTTTCACTTTATTCAGTAAGTGTTTTTATCAACTGACTCTGGCCATGGCATCCACCAAAGCGCCGTTCCTTAGCAAACATCGCACCACCTCCATCTGTCCTGCCCTTGCAGCCATGTGCAATGCCGTCTCGCCACGCTGAGGACACATACAATCAGTACATGAAATGCATTGCTAGACCTTTTTGAATTTGTTTATTTAGAGGAGAGTAGAAAAGACAGCAAATGATATCCAAAACTCCTAGCATGAGCAAAACAGTGTGGCAAAGCATGAGCTAAAAAAGTAGGCACTGAAAGTAGGGGTGTGCAATGGTTATATAGTCTAGACTAATATAGTAATAGTTGTTTTCATAGATATGTATAGGCAGATATATAAATAGCTCTAATAGCTGCTGTTTCTATGGGCTGCTACACGTAATCCGTCCTCAATATTGGAATGTGTGGACACTCGACTGTTTGTCTGCAACGGTAATTACACGCATGAATGATTATCTGTATCTGCAACTAAACTAACACAATAAAAAAAGACGAAGCCATTAGCAACATATATAACATAGCAACATATATAAGTTATATAAGTTAGAATGCCAGTGAAAATAGTTACATAACAAAGCCAGAGAAGAACCGATCTGTGTCTCTGAGCAACACAAAGCAGTGTTTCTTTACTGAATGAATGCATGTTTTTTTCTCATATTTAAAATATTTTGAAAAATCATTTTTTATATTCACAATTTCATTTTGAAATCACGCAGTATTATTTATGCTATTGTAATCCATATCACCTCTGATTTAAATACATCTAAATGCCATATCAAATGTAGCTTATGTCATCTATTCTATGCAGTGCAAAAAATGGATTTTGCTGATATTTATTTAATTTGATTGGTAACAGCTCTACATTGTCTTACTATTATAATTTAATTGATTGATTAAACCTAAGAATTTGACATAGAAGATTTGCTCTCAAATCAATTTAGGGTGTCAAATAACACACCTTATACTACTGTGATCTAACCAATGCAAAGAATATGAAGAATATTTAAAGATTTCGGATTCAGCTCCACTAAAGGCCTAAACCAACTAAGGTACCAGCACAAAAACACAGTCAGCAGTTTTTCGACAAAAATCAAGAAAATACCTTTTTTTTTCAATATTACGCACCCCTATTGGAAATATTTAAATATGGTACAAGTCATGTCCAATCTTGATGACTGTGTACTCACAATATTACAGACATCAGGTGAGGCTCCATTCTGTAGCAGCAGGAGAACAATATTGAGGTGCCCCATAAATGCTGCAACATGGATTGGGGTCAGGCCGGACTAGGAAAAAAGAGAACAGAAAGTAGTTACGTTTACATGCACCAATTTTCGTCAATCTGAATGAATCCAATCTGATTTCAGGTTCTGAAAGTTCTGTTTATATGAACTCTAAACCTTCCTGTATGAGCTAAAGGAATAATTCAACTCTATGAAGTTTAATTATTAGACTTGAAATAAACTCTAAAAAGTCACATGCCAAATCAGATATTGTTATCAGAAATAGTATGCAAGATTACAAGTCACAGACTACTAAGACTCTTACCTCAGTGACAGCTTGAATTGAGGCTCCATATTTAACCAGCAGTTCCATGACTTTCACTCTGTTCTTTTTGCAGGCAATATGCAGAGGAGTGAAGCCATTCTGACAGACACAAAAAATACATCAGTAACGCTCATTAACCCGCTGGGACACACTTTTTTTCAAAGACAAAGAATTACCAGTGCTCTGGCATTAGGATTCGCTTTCTTATCCAGTAGTAATTTTGTGACTCTGTAGTGACCACAGTGGGCGGCAACATGAAGGGCGGTCAGGTAGTCCAGTGTGACATCATCAACCGGTGCCTTGTGTTGCAGCAGGTGTTTCACACACTCGACGTGATCACCCTGAGCAGACATGTGCAGCGGGGAAAGGCCATTCTGTGTGTGTGTGTGTGTGTGTGTGTGTGTGTGTGTTGAAATACAGAGAAAGAGAGAGGAAAAATACAGATCAGCTTTAGATCAAAAAGTAATAATATAATATTTAATAATAATACTGTTTAATGCATTTTTATATTTCAAATTTTCAAATAAATGCAGCCTTGGTGAGTAGAGGAGACTAATTAAAAAATATAAACAAACATGGAACCATTAGTTTCATGTACCTTGGTCCGTGCCAGTATGGGAGCTCCTCTTTCAAGCAGGATTTCCACTGCAGTGTCATGTCCACTTCTGGCTGCACAGTGCAGTGGTGTCAGCCCATCCTTTTCAACAGAGAGAAGATAAATACAGACAATCAGCATATATGAAAAAAAAAAACACATATGTACATACATAATGCATTATGAAAACTACTGTTGTGCAAATGCACATGACAACATATAGTAAAACACTATCACTGCTACCTAAGTTTTTCAAAATAAAAGCAGAATTCACAAAAAGCTAGCATTATCATTATACAGTACAAGAAATGTTCCTCTGAACTGTTAGCAGTAGGCACTAGAGGGCGCTTGTTTTACTGCATTTTGATGGTCCTGTTGATACTCACCCTGGTCTTGGTGTCAATCTGAGCCCCCCTGTCTAACAGCAGAGCAATCATGTTTGTATTTCCTCGTTTGGAGGCCACATGAAGAGGGGTTATACCATTCTAAACAAAACAGCACATCCTTTAGCACAGATTATATTTTCATACTTGGAAAAAAATAGTAACTTAATAAACTATTAAAGCAACACACTGTCTTCTAAAATCAAGGGAAAGTAAAGAGGAACTGCAAGCATTTGCTAAAAGGAATAGTTCACCTCAAAAATGAAAATTCTGTCATTTACTCACCCACAATCCATTTTCAAACCTGTATAAGTTTCTATATATGTTGAAAACAAAAGAAGAGATTTTGAGGAATGCTGTTGTTGGGCCCCAAACAAACAGTTGTTGGCCCCCATTGACTTCCATAGTGGGTAAAAAATAATAATAATAATACTAATAAAATACTATGGAAGTCAATGAGGGTCAACAACTGTTTTTGGCCAAAATCTCTTCTTTTGTGTTTAACATAAAAAAAGAAATCTATACAGGGTTGGAACGATATGAGGGTGAGTAAATTATGACAGAATTTTCATTTTTGAGTTGAACTATTCCTTTAATATATATGAAATCTGATACAGTTTATACATCATACCACATGATTATTCAATTAACTCCAACAGAGTTTTAATTGTGTAGAACTTAACAAAAGAAAGCATGCACATCAAAAATATCCCTGAAGTCTACCCTAAAAATTATAAATGTGTGATTTGAGTGAATAGCAGCTTAAATATTAGTCTGTTACAGAAAGCATTGATTTTGAGCAGTGGTTTTCAACCAGGGGGTCGGAGCCCACTAGGGGGCATCAGGAAACCTCCAGGGGGTGCAGCAGTGGCGGCGTTTCACAAAACCATAGGGTATGGCAGTGGCGCAAGTAAATGGGTGGGGGGGATAGGGCAAGTTATTTATTTTTCATTGGCTAAAGTTAAAAAATATAGATGTGAATCGTTACCCTAACTTTTTTTCAGTGTACCATCACTTAAAGTATTTAATTTTGTCAATTTATAAGTTGCTTTTTTTTTAGGATTTTAGCAATATAAGATCATACCCTGGCTGTGAAGTCTACAGCAGCCCCTCTGTTGAGCAGCAGCGTGGCCACATTAACGTTACCGTAGTGAGCAGCAATATGCAGAGGAGTGAAGCCACTCTGTTAGAGGATGGAGTAGTATTGGGATAAAAGAAGGGATAGAACAAAGAAGAGAAGAAAACAGAATGGTAAATGTCTGCGCTGGTCTTCTAACTGATTTAAAACGTCCATCATTCATGATCTACCATGCAGCATTCCCATGAATCATCACATTTGTGCAAAAACTTAAAAGATAGAAAAAAATGGAAAAGTAAAAAGAAAAAAAAAATGTGTGGATTCTCATCTTCTACCAATGGATCCAACCACACCATGCACTGGAGTGAAGGCAAAGAAAAAAAACGGATGAAATAAGAAACAGAAAGATTAGATTTGTACATGTAATAATATATGAGCACATTCCCAGTATCATATGAGTCTTCATGAGACAGATGAGAAGTTTCTCAGTGACAATGAAAGGGGAAAAAATATCTGAACAAACAAATGTTATTCAGCAACTACTAACTACATTTTGCTAAAGATGAAAGTATAGATAGGAAATTGGCATTGTCTGTCTTACTTTCGTTTGATGGAGCCATTTTATCTTACCTTTCCATTCTGACAGACATGGTGCAATTTAAAAAACAGAATTAACAAAAAGGTGCAGCAAAATGTGACCGAGAGACTTCTGCACAGTGTGAGTTCACATGCACAATTAGGAGTTAAACGTCGGTTTGGTCTGTTAGTAAAATCATAAGTGGTGTATAAACAACATAATGCACCCCTATTTTCTGCTCAAAACGTTAATTGAAATAAAAGAGCATAAAATGTGTTGATGAGCTAGAAACACACAAAAACCTCTCGAGGAAATAGGGTGCTGCTACTAAAATATAAACAACTATGTGTCATGCACTATGACATCTAAAAGGACAAGACTCTACTCTTCCCATGCACTGTAAAAGAAAGATTCAGTGTTAAGTAGCACATTAGGCTTTATAAGAGCCGAGACGAATGCAGGTGCAGGATTCTGCTGAGAATCTTAATACCTCTGTAGTCCTGTTGACCATCATCTGAAGGAGTCGCACATGAGGAGGAAAATATAGCATGTAGCATTAATATGACATTTTGAACCAATTTTAACATTTTTATCTTAAAAGGAGGAATTTCAAAAGCAAAAATATAATTCGGTGAAGATTAAATAAAGCCGAAACAAGTAGATAGCTAGCATGAACCTCGTTGAAAATATCTATTTAAAGGAATAGCTCACCCACAATTTTCATTTCAGAAAATTTGTGGGAAATTAACTCAACCTCAGGCCATCCATGAGTTTATTTGTTCATCAGAAAAGATTTTGAGAAATTTTGCTTTACATCACTTGCTCACCATGCATCTTCTTCAGTGAATGGGTGCCGTCAGAATGAGAGTCCAAACTAGAAACTTTAAACCGGCACTTCTGACCGAAATACCAGTCTATAATCCATAATAATACTTCCTCCAGCGAAAAAGTCAATCCACTGTTGTTCTCTCACATCAAAATCAATCGGCATATTTGTTTAGAACTGTTTTGGACTGTTTTCACTGTTGTAAACGCTGTTTGATTGGTGCATATTTCTCTCCTGATTCAGACAAGATGACTTTTTCACTGGACGAGGAAATAGGGTGCTGCTACTAAAATAAAAACAACTATGTGTCATGCACTATGACATCTAAAAGGACAAGACTCTACTCTTCCCATGCACTGTAAAAGAAAGATTCAGTGTTAAGCAGCACATTAGGCTTTATAAGAGCCGAGACGAATGCAGGTGCAGGATTCTGCTGAGAATCTTAATACCTCTGTAGTCCTGTTGACCATCATCTGAAGGAGTCGCACATGAGGAGGAAAATATAGCATGTAGCATTAATATGACATTTTGAACCAATTTTAACATTTTTATCTTAAAAGGAGGAATTTCAAAAGCAAAAATATAATTCGGTGAAGATTAAATAAAGCCGAAACAAGTAGATAGCTAGCATGAACCTCGTTGAAAATATCTATTTAAAGGAATAGCTCACCCACAATTTTCATTTCAGAAAATTTGTGGGAAATTAACTCAACCTCAGGCCATCCATGAGTTTATTTGTTCATCAGAAAAGATTTTGAGAAATTTTGCTTTACATCACTTGCTCACCATGCATCTTCTTCAGTGAATGGGTGCCGTCAGAATGAGAGTCCAAACTAGAAACTTTAAACCGGCACTTCTGACCGAAATACCAGTCTATAATCCATAATAATACTTCCTCCAGCGAAAAAGTCAATCCACTGTTGTTCTCTCACATCAAAATCAATCGGCATATTTGTTTAGAACTGTTTTGGACTGTTTTCACTGTTGTAAACGCTGTTTGATTGGTGCATATTTCTCTCCTGATTCAGACAAGATGACTTTTTCACTGGAGAAAGTAATATTATGGAAAGAGGACTCATATTTTATCTGGAAGCAACAGTTTGAAGTTTAAAACATCTGCATGATGAATTTATTACAAACATACAGTGGATTACTTGTGAATTATTGTGATTTTTTTATCAGCTGTTTGGACGGCACCCATTCACTGCAGAGGATCCATGTGATATGATGGTACATTTCTCCAAATCAGCTCCTCAGTTCAGCTAATCTGCATCTTGGACGGCCTGAAGGTGAAATTTTCAGCAAATTTTGCGGTGAACTATTCCTTTAAGATTAATGAATTAATAAAATCCTTCAAAATACTCATAAACAATCCTTCAAAACGAACTGTGGTACCATGGTACAGTCATAGTATAACAATATGTTTAGCAGTGTTCAAAGAACACCATGGTACAATGATACTGTACAGGTACTATATGAAAAAACATCAATAGTATACTCAAATGTTCAAACAACACACAATGCTCTCATGACACCATGTCCAAAAAACCTTAAAGCAATGGCATTATCTATATATACCTGTAAAAAAAACACAGAATTATTATAGTTCCATCTTTGAAAAAGCATGAACATTAAATTTTCACTATTTATTTTCTCACCTTAGACTGGACATCAGCATTATGGTCGTTCTGAAGCAGCAAAGCAGCAGACTTGGTGTCATCCTTGCGGGCAGCGATGTGGAGCGCAGGCAGGCGGACTTTACCTTTTGTGTCATGTTCCAGCAGCAGAGAGACCACCTGATTATGACTCTGCTGCAGAGCAATGGCCAGAGGAGTGAAGCCATCCTACAAACACAGACAACAGACAAGCAGAGATTAAAACAAACAAAACCAACTCTTTGTTCAATATGCAGATCAAAACTAAGTCCAATGGTTGGAAGTCCATATGATCCACCACCTAGACTAGCTTTGACCTGCATAGTGACCATATAAAACCTTAAACCATCTGATGCTATATTGGCTGGATTTCTAGCAGGGATGAATATCATTTAAAATCATTCAGGATTTGAGAATTTACTTCCATCCAGTTTTACGCAATCTTTACCTTGCATGTTTGAACAATGCTATCACATATGTGACCCTGGACCACAAAACCAGTCATAAGGGTCAATTTTTCGAAATTGAGATTTATACATAATCTGAAAGCTGAATAAATAAGTTAGGATAGGACAATATTTGGCCGAGATACAACTATTTGAAAATCTGGAATCTGGGGGTGCAAAAAAATCA